GCGTGTGAGTGTGTGCCCAAGATCCCGAGAGGAGAATGGAGGAGAAGGGATTGCGGCGTGGCCATCCCCCCTGGGGGGTGATTTCTTGCTTTCTGTCTCTGTCTGTCTGGTGAGTGCACATGCCTTATAGCAAAAACCTCTCCAAAAAAAGAAAGAAATTCATTTTATTAGGAATGATAGGTTGGGGAATTTATTAATATTATTTTAAAAATTCTTTTAAAGTTTTTTCATAGGGTGTGTGTGCTCACCAGAGAGAGATGGAGAGAGACAGAAAGTGGGAAAGTGAGAAATCACTCCCTAAGGGGGTAGCCACAGTGCAATCTCTTCTCCTCCATCCTCTTCCTGGGATTTTGGCAGGCATGCACATGTGCCCGGTGTGATTTTTAAGCTGCTGTGTCTAGTACTCGAACTGTGATTGGCCATGTGGGAGTCCAGCACCTTAACCACCATGCCACCTGCTGGGTCCACCAATATATTTTAAATGATACTTTTTTTCCCAGTTGCCAGAGGGTACATGTGGAGAGAGACAGAAAGAGAAGAGAGAGGCAAAGCATCCTCCAGTGCAGTGTGGCTAGACTGCAGTCCCTTGTCTTCATGTCTCCGTTCTGTTGAGATTCCGGGTATGCACACACACCAGGTGTGTTTCTCAAGATGCCAGGATTGGGATATGAACTGTGTTTGGCCACGTGGGACTGGCTTCATTTACCATTCTGCTCCTGGGCTGGCCAATTAAAATACTGGGCCATCGGGAAAGTCACGATGCGTTTTTTTGTATAGAAAAACACAGAAAAACATCATGACTTTCCTGACAACCTAATGTAATGATAGGAGACGTAGTCCTGCTAACAGGTCATCCTTTCCATATGCCTAATCCTCCATTCTCCTTAAAAACTTCTTGTGGGGACCAGCAGATGGTGTAACGGTTATGTCACTGGACTCCCATGTAGTCGACTGTGGTTCAAGTCCCAGACCCGGTGGCTTAAACCTCATTCCAGGCATGTGTGCATGTGTGCCTAAGATCCTGAGAGGAGAATGGAGAAGGGATTGTGGCATGGTGATCCCCCCCCGGGGGGGAGGTTGATTTCCTGCTTTCTGTCTCTCTGTCTTTCTCTGTCTTTCTTAAGCACCCTATAACAAAAATCTCTCTCTTAAAAAAAAAAAAGAAAGTAGTAATGGAATTTTATGGATGATAACATGCATGATTAAGCCACTATGCAGTTTACTCTAGAGGGGAAACCACATTTAGTATGTTGTGATGATGCTCAGGGAATGAATGTAAATTAAAAAAAAAAAATTCAGAGAAAAAAATACTAAAACTGTTATCAAAATTTAAATAATAACCTGTGTGTTTGATGACCACAGTAAGCTATATAGCCCCAGCTAGGTACTATTTTATAGTATGTTCATTCTACTCACTGAGGTTTATGCCTAAAGTCAGACATGGGTTCTTGTGTATGTATGTATCAGCTGTGCTTGCTATTGCAAATATTTAGACAAATTAAGTTCGTTAGCCAATCAATTAAATGGGGCGGGGATAGGCATAGAAAGCAATCATGGATACCAGAGACAATGGGAGGAGTGTTGGACAGGGCAGAGGGGTAGGGGCAGGGAATCAAGGAGGGTGGAAAAAAAAAAAAAAAAAAAATGCAAAATATACAAGACATAAGAAATGAAACATTGTTTGTTGATAACACGTATGTTGATGTGCTTGATTGAGCCAACAGATAGTGTATTTTGGGTGAAAAATTCATTTTGTGTACTGTAATGATGTATAGCATATTAATGTTAAAAAATAAAAATAAATTAAAAAAAAGAAGGAAAGAAAAAAATTCTTGGAAGTTTTCTGCTCTTACGTCCTAAAAAACTTGAAAAATATCCTTTAATGTTGTATAGTCCCTCCTTTCACCACGAATAGCAGTGCTTGGTTTGAATCTTCCTTAACCATTTTCCAGCGTTTAATTGTGGTCCCCACAAAGAACTTAACCCCTCAACCTAACTTGGGTCATCACCGCGAGTCCCCGTGCTCACGGTCTGCAGAGAGGAGTGGTTGATCAGAGCTCTCCTTGTCATACCCTTCACGTCACTCAGGGGAAATGGCTGTTCATTGCTTGTTTTCTTTTGGCACTGCAAGGCTGCAAGCTTTGATCATGGAGTTTGTTTCCGGTGCTCTGATCATTGTAATTACTTGTCTCTGAATCCTCTCCAATCTTCACACCAAAAATGAATAATATTTGGAGCTGTACGCAGTTCCGTTATGGGCTCCCCAACCTGGGGAGCTGGCACTCCTGTCTCATTGCTGTGGGCAGAGTCACACCGCAGAGCCGCCCCTCCCCGCGCCCTCTCTGACCTCAGTACCTGCTCCCCTCCTGACTGCACGATGCCTGGGATTCCTTGGCATTTTCTCAACCTAGCTCATCTTTCATTTGTAAGTGAGGTAAACCTTGGATTTGCACCTAACACTATCTTGCTTTTGATGAATCATGACTATCTCTGATTTGTCAAGGTTACTTGAATTCTATGATTATTTACTTATTTGTTTACTTCAGAAGAATCAGAAACTTTAACCTAGTGGATAGCCACAAAATGACTGAGAATGCTTTCGATTCCACTGTGACAGTTATTGATTAAAATAAAATCAATCGTGTAGGACCCGGGCGTCGGGTGCTGTTTTGTAAGTCCCGTAAGTTGCACCAAGTCATTGGTTTCTGTCAGCCTTACCTCGTGGCTTTCCTCTCACTGGATGTTATTAAACTCCATAAACATTGATGTTACAGTTTCTTGTCTGATTACAGAAATGAAACTAGAGCCATTTAGAATGGTGATTTGGGGTGTTACGAGTGGTTCTAGGGAAGAAAAGATAAGATTGGCTCATCAGAAAAGTCTCGGCACGTTTTTGTATAGAAAAACATAGAAAAATATGCGTGACTTTTCCGACGACCCCGTAGTTTCCGCACGTATCGATAGCTTAGGTGGCATGATTAGTTCATGTTTTCTTAGCAAAGTCAGAGAAAATAGGAACACCTTGAAAGTGGTGTGCATACCTATATTGTAGATTTTTTTTCTAGGTTGGACTTTGAGAACTTTGATGCGCTGATGTAAATTTAGTGTCCACGTTCTACTTAATACATGAACGTAATGAGATGCATTTTTTTTTTCTTATTGTCATTACAGGTTTCAGAAGGTGACCACAGAATTTGAAGAAGTTACATTTCTAATATGATACTTGAAAGTTAGTGACTGCTGAGCCCATTTTTATGAAAATTAACTATGACTTAGAAGCCTTGGTTTATGATGTCATCGGTCTGGACGGAAAGAAAACCCCCACAGGCTGTGAGCCTGCGGGGTGTTGACCCAGAAACGTGCATGATTGTATTCAGAAACCACTGGACACAGGTAATGTCCGAGTCCCCACCTCTCTGCTGGGCACGGCAGCCCCAGGGGCCCCTGTCACACGGAGCTAGGGCTCCCTACCTCTGGGACACACAGCTCGGTTTCCGGGAACAGAGAGGTGGAAACCTTTGCAGCTAGGAGGAAGAACGCCTTTCTCTGCTTGATTTCCTGGAACAGGAATTCACAGTTTTCACAAAAGCAATTAGGGCACACGCATGTTCCTCACGTATTTTTAGGAAAACAGCAGGTGTTCCTTAGAGGGACTTTTCCATCACTTTGCAATGTATTTGACCATAATTGTACCCTCTGTCTTCCTGTCTCTTTTTTTTTTTAATTATTGTATTTCATTTTATCGATTCATTCATTTATTTTAATTTGATCAGAGAGAGCCACAGAGAAAGAGAGAGAGCCAGAGAGAGAGAGAGAGAGAGAAAGTGAGAAAGCAAGACACCAGGCCCAGGACTCGAACCATGATCTGCCATATGGGAGTGTCCAGCACTTTAACCACGACACCACCTGCTGGTCCCCCACCCGGTTCTTTTTTTAAAAAATAATTATTTATTTAGTTGTATTGATGATTATGATTATGATGATGATTATTATTTTTAATTTGCTATAGAGCACATGTGCTCACCAGAGAGAGACAGAGACAGAGAGAGAGAGAGAAGGTAAGAAAGCAAGCCACCAGGTCCAGGCCTCAAACCATGATCGGCCATGTGGGAGTCCAATGCCATAACCACTGCACCACCTACTAGCCTCTCCACCCGGTACTTAAACTCTAAGAATACTAAAATGCACATTTATTAAATGTTTACTTGGGACCAACAGTTAGCGTAATGGCTATGTCGTTGAACTCCCATGTAGTCGACTGTGGTTTGAGTCCTGAACCCGGTGGCTTAAACTCACGCCAGGCGCATGTACGTGCGTGCCCAAGATCCAGAGAGGAGAATGGAGGAGAAGGGATTGCGGCATGGCCATCCCCCCTGGGGGGTGATTTCTCACTTTCTGTCTCTCTGTCTCTCTCTGTCTATCTGGTGAGCACATGCGCCCTATAGCGAAAATCTCTCCCCCCCCCCAAATATTTACTAAGCACTGTGTTGAGTACTTCGAATGCCTTCTGTCACTTAATCTTCTCCACAAACCCGTAAGGCAGCTAGTTATATTAGGCTCCTCATTTTACAGATGGGAGAATGGGAGCACAGAGGCGAAGAACTGATGGGTACGGTTAAATAGGAGCTCGATAGTTACCCAGCTGGGGAGTCACCAAGCCAGTATGTAGGCCCTGGTCCCTTGTCTCCAAAGCCCACGTGTACAACCTCTGTACTCTACTGGTTCGGGGCCGGTGGCCCCTGTGTAATTTAAGGAGAGAATATAAGATGACCGTAAAGCTGGACACATGCGAATACGTGCCCAAAATCCCAAGAGAGGATGGAGGAGAAAGGATTGCAGTATGGTCATCCCCCTGGGGGTGATTTCTCACTCTCTCTCATTCTCTCTCTCTTTCTCTGAGTACAAATGCCCTACAGCAAATTAAAAAAAAATAAAAAACAGTTTCACATTGTTCATTTTGACTTCTCTTGGACTCTTCTCTGATCTGCTTGTGAGGATAACTAAGGGCTGAAGGTTCAGAAAATTTACTGGCCTGCCTTTTTTCCTCAGTCTGTAAGTAGTAAAATAAATGCAATCGGCAATGTTCCTGCGTGCGTCCAAGTCTGCACCCCCGGGGGAGCTGGGAAGTGAGTTTATGTTGACAGTCCCTGCCTGTGGTCGGAAACAGCACACAGGTTAAAGCCCTGAGCCCGTGAGTCACTACAATTAGAGGGGACATGGTTTAGATCAAACACCAACAGGATCAATTCTGCTTCTGGTCATTTACACTTTGTAGCTTAGTGTTTCTATCCTGATCCTGTATAAAGTTTCAGGATTTTGTTGTGCATTCCCCACTTACTGTTGGAATTTTAATGGGCTTGCTGGGGGCAGGAAGGCTACACCTGCTTTAGTAAAGAGAAGAAAGTAATTCGGTAATATCAGTTTTCCAGGGAATTAGACGAATTACTTTTGGCTTTACCCTTTATAAAGTATTTTAAAGTGGCTCTGAAGTGAGGTGTAAACCCCTAAGTCCATTGGGTGTGGGAAGAAAGTTCTAGAAGGCTTATTTCTATCTTTATCTGTTTAAAATTTGTATCTTGTATTTTCAAATGTGTTGTTTTAAAAAAATAATTATTTTATTTAACTTTATTTATTTTTATTTAACTTTTATTATTTTAATTTTACCAGAGAGGTACAGAGTGAGAGAGAGAGGGGCGGGAATGAGAAAGCAAGCCGCCAGGTCTGGGACTCAAACCATGTGGGAGTCCAGCGCCCTTAACCATCACTCTACCCACTGGCCCCTCAAATGTATTCTTATATTCACACATGTATGTTTGTTTATTTTTTATTTTTATTGTTTTTATGTAGTTTTTTAAAATTTTTTTATTTTTGGAGAGGTTTTTGCTATAGGGCACGTGCACTCGCCAGACAGACAGAGAGAGACAGAGAGACAGAAAGTGAGAAATCACCCCCCAGGGGGGATGGCCATGCCGCAATCCCTTCTCCTCCATTCTCCTCTCGGGATCTTGGGCACACACGCACATGTGCCGGCGTGAGTCTAAGCCACTGGGTCCGGGACTCGAACCGCGGTCGACTACATGGGAGTCCAGCGACATAGCTATTACCCAACTGCTGGTCCCTGTTTTTATGTAGTTTTTGAACTTCGGAGTGCTCGTTCAGATGTTTGCACTGAAAACGCTTTCAGCTCTGTGCGTGTCACTTGGCTGATGAAATCCGTAGTTCTCATGTTATCAGCTTTGCTCTGGGCCTCATTTTGTGTATTTGTGTATAATACCTTCGATTATAATCATCCCTGCTTGAGCAATGGTTATGTGACCCATTTACTGTTCTGGACCACTCTTCAAAGGCAGGACGCATCGTCAGCTCTTTAGAGTAGGCAGGCGTTTGTTTTTCTCACTGTCGAACAGCAAGCCCGGTCCCAGAATCCTCTTATTCATTTCCATATCCAGTGTGAATGGCTTCAGCATTTATCAGGCGTTTGGGTTACCAGAAGCACGCTCGGGTACATAGCACCCTCCTTTCAGCCCAGAAGAATGCGGGTTGAGGATAAGGATGACTGTGTCAGAGGGAATGGTATTTAATTATGAAATAGTTCCTGTGTAAAGTGGGGGCACTCTTACTCCCCCCTCCCCATAGGGTGCATGCACTCGCTAGAGAGACAGAGACAGAAAGCGAGAAATCACTTTCCAGGGGGATGGCCATGCTGCCATCCCTTCTCCTTTATTCTCCTCTCAGGATTTTGGGCATGCACACTCATGTGCCCTGCATGAGTTTAAGCTACCAGGTCCGGGACTTGAACCACGGTCAGCAATGTGGGAGTCCAGTGACGTAATCATTACGCTATCTGCTGGTCACCACGCTTGCTTCTTATTGTTGTCTCAGATATTTCTTCTTAGATACTTTTTGTTCTTTCACTTCTTTCACTTTTCTTTCTAAATAAATCTGGAGAAGGCCCCCAGGCTCCGTCTACAGAGGCTCCTGAGGACTGTGCTGCCTTTATGAATGGGGTACTGAAAAGTTTGCGTGGTGTCCCAGTGGTGGTTGTTCAGGGGATTTCCTGAGCCCACACTTGGCGTGTCGCTGTAGGCACCACAGGCGACTTCAGTCCTCTGACTGGGCTCCTGAAGGACCTCTGATCTGGATCATGCCTTTAGAACTGAATAATAATGACTATAGGAATTAAGTCAAGAGAAGGGACTTTTATAGACTGAAATGGCTTGGGAAATGGAGAAAGTGAGATTTCGCTAGCATGGTTGTGAAAAAGAAGGTTTTGGGGCCGGCCAGGTGGCATGGTAGTTGAGGTGGCTGGATCCCACATGGCAGAGTATGTGGTTCGAGACCTCGACCCAGCGGCTTGGAAAATATGCTGGGTGCATGTATGTGTGCCCAAAATCCTGAGAGGAGAACGGATTGTGGTGTGGCCATCAACCCTAGGGGGTGATTTCTCACCTTCCCTCTCATTCTCTCTCTCTGTCTTTCTCCAGGGAGTATAGGTACCTTATAGTGAAAACTAAAGAAAAAAAAAAGAAAGTCTTGATGACAGAACATTTTTTTTTTTTAAATTCTTGCCCTAGAGTATGTGTGCTTGCCAGAGACAGACCCAGAAAGAGAGAGACAGAGAGGGAAAGTGAGAAATCACCTCCTTCCACCCCCAGGGGAATGGCCACACTATAATCCCTTCTCCTCTTCTCCTCTCAGGATTTTGGGCACGCACTCACATGATCCTAAGTGTTTTTCAAGCCACTGGGTCCCGGACTCCAGCAGTATAGTTGCCACGTGGGATCCAGCTGCTTTAGTCTCCATGCCATCTGCTGGCTCAGAAGGGAACATTTCCAGGCGCGTGTGCGTGCGTGCCCAAGATCCCGAGAGGAGAATGGAGGAGAAGGGATTGTGGTGTGGCCATCCCCCCTGGGGGGTGATTTCTAGCTTTCTGTCTCTCTGTCTCTGTCTTTCTGGCACGTGCACGTGCCCTATAGCAAAAACCTCAAAAAAATAAATAAAAATAAAGAAGAGAACATTTGAGAGAAGGGATATTGGGGACACATGCTCAGTTTGTGGGCTTTTCAAGATGGTAGGAAAATGGGGGTGTGAGGGACCCAGCAGTTAGCGTAATGGCTATGTCGCTGGACTCCCCCGCGTAGTTGACCGCGGTTTGCGTCCTGGACCCGGTGGCTTAAACTCACGCCAGGCGCGTGTGCGTGCGTGCCCAAGATCCCGAGAGGAGAACGGAGGAGAAGGGATTGCAGCATGGCCATCCCCCCTGGGGGGTGATTTCTCGCTTTCTGTCTCTCTGTCTCTCTCTGTCTGGCGAGCGCACAACCTATAGCAAAAAAATCTCTCCAAAAGCAAACAAACAAACAAACAAACAAACAAAAACAGGGGTGGGAGAAGGC